CTTCTTGTTCCTGGTACTGATTCTGTTCTCCTTTCAGTTCCCTAACTCTTAAAGCCTAGTTAGTCTTTTTCTCTCTTGACATCCATCTGCCATGGTTTGTTCAGTCCTGCCAGTGGGCTTTCAGGAGGTCTCAGACGCCCAGGTCTCAGGTGCGGAGGTCCATGTTCTCATGGGTCATGAACAGCTCACACGTGGGAGTTGTTGCAACCGCCTAACTGAATCCCCCCTACAATTTCTACCCCTTTACTATCTACTACAAAATATGATGACATTATTAAAGTGATTAAAGATGCTTTTGATGATATCATTCCCAGCTCTCCCACAACATATCATTGCTCCCTATTTCGATGCATAAACACAACCCAACGCCCTTGTCCTGGCAGTCAATACTTACTAGGACATGTCTTTGTCCTGTTTGATTTATCTCCCTTCCCGCCACTGCTGCATGACAACTTCGTTTCCTGACTTTGCTGTTTCAAGTACTGGCATTCAGAGGTACCGTGGGTTCAGTCCGGACCACCGTAATAAAGTAGCCATCTCAATAAAGCGAGTCACTCAAATGCTTGCTTTCCCAGTGTGTGTAAGTTATGTTTACATTGCACTGTAGTTCATTAAGTGTGTGATATAGCATAATGAAAAAGTTTGAAATATTGCGAGAATTATCAAAATGTGGCACAGAGACGCAAAGTGAGCACATGCTCTTTGAAAACATGGCACCGATTTTGCTCAGTGCAAGGTTGTCATGAATTTTCCATTTGTAAAACGCACGGCGTCTTTGAGGTGCAATAAAGCAAATCACAATTAAATGAGGTATGCCTGCAATGTGCCAATTTTCTACTTCCATTGAGCCCTTGACTGGAATGACGTTTTTTCCCCCAATACCCAACTACTCCCCCACCTACTACCCAACATACGCTACTCCATGATACTTCAAAGCCTTTCTGAGTCATATCTGCCAGCAGCAGCCTCTCCCTTCCTCTCCCCAACACCCATAGAATATTTCCTGTGCCTCCGTCACGGTGTTTATCTCTGTATTTCTTGGACTACAGTGACTTGCATGTGCGAATGTAAGCTCCTTATAGAAAGCATCTATTTCTGAATAATTTTTAAACATCTCCCAACATCATCTTGAATTTAACAATTCTATATACACGACTAACGATTGGATAACTTAATTACTCCTGCTTTTTCACAGAATTCCATACACTAGAATATTAACAAATTGTTCATCAGTAATATCTCTCAAGTACGCACACTCCTAAACATTGTGCTAACTTTTATCAAGTATATGGTTGTGGCAATATCTTTGGTCCTCGGTGATCTAAAAACTTCACAGTTGTACTCACTGCCATGCAGTCTATGCTGACATGCATAGCGACTGTGTAGGACAGGGTAGAACTATCCCTGCAAGTTCCGTAGACTGTCACTCTTTATGGAGGTAGAAATCCTCATCTTTCTCCCACCAAGTACCTCGTGGTTTCGAACCACTGACCTTGTGATTAGCAGCCCCACTCATAACCACTGTGCCACCAGAGTTCCTCATAGTTGTACAGGAAGAATAAATAGATTTAAAAAATAATAAAGACCACCCCCAGGGGACAAACACCAGAAACGTGGGTGAAGGGAGACAGCAAATGGTGTAAGATATGAAATAATAATAATTTATCATTTATCAGGAGTTCACAAGGGTGGGAGGGTGAGGGAGAGAGGGGAAAAAAAGAGAAGCTGGAAAAAAAAAAAAAAGAGTTGCTGATACCCAGGGCTCAAGCAGAAAGAAAATGTTTTGAAAATGCTGATGGCAAGTTTTGTACAAATGTGTTTGATACAATTGGTGTATGGATTGTTATAAGAGCTGTAAGAGCCCCCAATAAAATGATTTCTTAAAGAAAACATAATAAAGAGCTGGTCTGCAGAACTGGAGCATGTGAGAGTGCCAGCCGCTAAAACAGGCTGAGTCCCGCAGCCGCGGAGCTTGGTTGATGCGCCGGTGAAGATGCAGAGGGCCAATGGGCGTTCCCCACGGTTAGCATGAATGCATGTCTCACGTACATGCTGCCCCCGCTGTCATCGGTAGGAGTGTTCAAGCTCCTGGGGGAATTTTGGGAAACAGATGGCATTTCTCATCTTTTTGTCCCATAAAATTTGGGGAAGAATTAGCTGATTATGGTCATCTTGGTTACCCTGAAAATGGAACTAGATATGTGACCTAGGTAGACTTAGGTAATACTAAACCTTAAAGTATTACCATGTTCTTTTTCTTTTTTTATTGATTTTTTTATAAATCACAATACATACACACATGCATTGCGTCAAGTACATTTGTACATTTGTTGCCACTCTTTTAGATCCCCATGAAAATTGGCACGCCAGTAATAATTTGCTGTTGATGACTATCTTATGAACGAAAAGAACTCCTATCATAAAATGAGATCACATCCATCACATTATAAATTTGACTTCTTTCCTACCTCCACTGATGTGAGACAGGCATCGCATTACCGTGGAGTGGCATAACACTGGCATTCCTTAGCAACCCTCGTAGAGGACTGGGGTTGCCAAAACACTTCAAGTGCCCTGCCTCTACCCACAGCTTTCATTACCTAATTACTAACCCCAAGAGGAAAGCAGCTCAAACTGGCGATCAGCAGGGTGGGGAGGCCAACACTGTCACACATGCATGAAGTGCTCTTTACTATGGGCCACCCAGCGCATCCACATGTGTCCCCTTGTGATGAGAGGCCCCACCACTATCATTCTGGATCTGGAGTACTGGGTCCTCCGCCCCCACATTACTTCATGAAGAGCGGGCTGCGGGGAAATGGTGACTGGCTTGACTAAGCACTAACAGCATAGTGAATTGGCTAAGAACATGGAAGCTGAACCCAAACGTCCTGAGTTCAAAACCTGGTTCTGCCACTTACTGTATCTGTGAGAACCTGGGTGAGTTAAATATGCCTCGACTGTTTCATCTCTTGTAAAATGAAAATGGCTCTAGTATCACTTAGTTATTATGATCGTCAAGTGAAGTGATACATGCAAACCCATACCAAAATGTTGGCACAATAAATTTAGATTGTTATGAGTATTAGCTCAACACCAGCTTCCAGAGACTTCGGGGGAGAATTGGCTCACCGAGGTTTTCATAGTCGTTTTTCTGAATGGCCAGTTTGTATCAAGAGGAAAAAAGTGATTCTAAAGCCCCACAATTGGTTGGTTGCTTATTTTTCGGGGTTTTTTTGGTTGGTTTGTACTGATTAAGTCACACGGTCTTGTTTGGTTGGTTTGTACTGATTAAGTCACACAAAAAAGAATAATAAGTCAAGTTGAAGGGTAGCATATTTAGCTCTTAATAAATGTACCTGAACTAACACACACACACATAATTTCAGAACAGCCACATCAGGAAGTTGTGAATTTATTTCAATAATACTGCCAAGTCATTTTGAAAACTCTTTCTTCTAAATTACCTTCAAGGCTGCTTCAAATTCTTTTGGCTATCTTCATTGGCAACAAATTTTTATCTTTTGAGAGTTTCAGCTTTGTTGACAGATTTAAAGCCAACTCTTATGAAACAAGATGGAGGGTTATGATAAATGTCACTTCTAGTCAAAAATAAATAAGGGTTTTGTTTGTTTTTTCATGACATACAATTCTAGACAAGGAATCTCTGACCGCATTTCAGACCAATGGAAGCACTATCAGAATCATTGCGCTGCTTTCTGTATGGTTAATAGGTTGTGTCTATTTTTATTGAACCAATCCTTATAGAGCACAGTGTCAAGCATTGTTCTAGGCACCTTGGCATACATTTGCTCATTTAGTGCTTGTATCTTAATAGAGAGATGCAATCATTATACCAAGTAGGAGGAAAATGAGCCTATCGTCTCCCATAAAGATGGACCGCCTCAGAGCCCCTCGGGAACAGTTCTCCTCAGCCCTGAGGGTCGCTGTGGGCACAGGGAACTTGATGGTGGTTGGTGGTTGGTTGACCAGTGCAGAGAAGCACGGACACAGTGGTTGAAGCACTCGACTCATGAAATAAAGTCGGCCGTTTGAAGCCATTAGCAGCACCTGACCCAAAGAATGTGACAGTTTGGCTTCTGTAAAGATTTTAACCTTGGAAATGTTTGGGGGCCATTCAACAGTGTACTGCAAGGTCACTGAGTCAGAATCTACAACGAGGCAGTGGGCAGTGCCAAGTGACCCCGTTTCATGAGGGCATTGAGGCACAGAGAGGTATTTTGTCCATGGACACCTAGCTAGTAAATGGTAGAGCTAGAAAGTTAGCCCAGGTGTGGATGGAAGCTTTCCTAGAAATTACACCCCAGTGCATTCAGTTATGCCTCTTGCTTTTTGAGACAGTGCAACTGGCACTTAGTGACAGCTAGATTTCTCCATGTTTGGCTGGTTTGTTATTGTTGTTTGTTTGTTTTTGCCTCTGCTGAAAGCCTTCTTAACGTTAACACGCATGATCTCTCTGTTTCTTATCATACCATGTAATTCAAGGAGGAAAGAGCCCCATCTTCTCCCTCCCTGGTTTTCTAATGAGGTCTAAGCTAGCCTGTTTTTCCACATGCACGGGCCTCTCTTGCAGCAGTTTCTTCAGCCTGTGCCAACAGTTTCTCTCCTCATAATGTTTCCTCATGCCTCTTTCAAAACTCCCTCCTAAAATTCACTTTTTCCATTGCATTACTCAGTAGCTTAATCTTACTTGATTAATGGGCGGGGGGGAGTCAAGTAGGTTAATAAAGACATGAAAATATTTTTTAGTCTCTTTGAAAACCACTTTATATATACGTAGTTTTTTTCCATCTGCAAAATGCTTTGAATGTCTTACTTTGCCGCCTTTGTTGTGAAACTTACGTTTCCAAAGCAGCTTCATACCAAGGCCAACAGTATAGATTGCTGGCCGACCATTGAGACAATAACAACCCCAGAGAAACATACTTAAGCAAATTGAAAAAGTGAATTATTCTGGGACTTTTTTTTTTTCATTTCAGGATAAACGAAAAATCCAGGAAGAAATCTCTCAGAAGCGCCTGAGAATAGAGGAAGAAAAACTAAAGCACCAGCACTTGAAGGTGATTTATGACTTTCATTTCATTTCAAATATCCTAAATGACACCTAAATTTCAGAAGTAAACATGCTTTAGAAAGGTAAAACTTTCAACATAGTTCTAAGACCTTAACAACCACAGGAGTGTCCAAGAACCTCGTAATATTTGCATGTGAGATTAGTATCTTCTAGTAAATGGGTAGAAACTTAAAAACATCA